ATGCTGCGTCGTATCACTTTGCATTAATAATTACGTTTTGAAATCTTATTTGTGCGCATCCTATCAGAAATAACCGTTAAATCGTGTTATTGTACTACTGCGTATATTTACCAGAAACACGTAATCAGCAGGTTTTGATTAAGGGCTGGAAGTCGATTAAATCTGACTTGCGTAAAATTCGTGTTACGTGATTGTGACGGCAATGTTGAACTGCAGCATAGTGAAAAATTTAAACCATGGCTTGAGTCTGATTTCTGTACTAAAGGAATTTCTTCAAAATGTCCTGTCCATCTTTACATTAAATGAAAAGAATGGAACAGTACACAGCTGTACATGAACGTTGACACAAGAGGTAGCAGACCATTAACGTTTATTTCTGAGTATTTTCGAGTACACATTCTGTGAGTAAAAACTATCCAGTTTTGCTGACTGTGTTGCGTTAAGTGTAGTACGTTTCTTCGGTTAGAAACACCGCAGCGGGCTGCCTTGAGTAGGGCACCTGTGGAAGAACAAATGCTGTAGAGAAAAGCAGAAAAAATTAACGGATTTTAACGTGATGACTGCTGAGGATTTCCGAGTCCTGTTTCTGTGGGGAAGAAACATCTGCGAAATCTCGTTGAGGTTGCATTAAGTGTAATATGCTTCGTGAGTGAATACGATAACTACAGGTAACCATGAACAGAGCAACTTTGATGAGGAAGAGTGTCATTCAGTAATGTAAACAAAAGGTAGAAGAATATTTAACGAGATTTCCGATAATTTCGATCAAGATTGCTGTAAGGAAGAAATATGTTTTAAATGTACCTGTTTATTGTTACATAAATAACACACGATGTGCTGATTGAGTGGATATGACCACAACAGGTTGCCATGAACAGAGCGGATGTGGAAGAGAAGACTGCTGAACGATAGTAATACAACGAAAGAGTCGCGGAAAATTAACATAAGTACTGAGGATTTTCGGCTATTTTTTCCAGAGGAAAGATATGTTGTAGAAATATTGCTGTTTGTCTACCTTAAACGTAATATGTTCATTATTTAGCCTTACAATGTCGGTTTCCTTACACTTTAATTATGAGGCCATTTCCAGAATCCTTCTTTTCATGAAGTTAATGGTGGGGGCGCTGATCTGCATTTCAATCTCACCAGGAGTGTCTTACTTTTAAAGGCAAGATCGACAGCAGCTGTACGAGAAGTATAGAAGTACAGTGTGCAGCTGTCTGTTTCCTTTCCTCAGATTGGTACTGGTACTCACTCATCAACCTCAGAAGGGCGAAAGGCATGTGACCCTGACCGTGCTCGATCCCGGGACCTATTGGTTCTGAGCCTAATGTTGTGCACACTGAGTGACCACGGTCTGAAATAATGTGCGATTAACTTTTTGCTTAAAGGAATTCATGTGAGTCATTGACATCACATTGACTTGGCCTGAATAGAGTATTTGTACAAGAGTATAAGAAGACAAAGGGCAATAAATTAGTGTAATTACTGAGGATTTTTGAGTCTATTTGTTATGTGGAAGAAATGACTCCAAAACTTCGCTATGCAAGTTACATTAAATGTTGTAGTTTGTTTTGTGAACCAATCAGATGGCAACGCGTAACGTCTGTGAAGCATACGAAACATTGAAACCTGCGCAACATGAGTATAGACAAAGAAACCTAGGAACTCCTAAAGAAATTGAGGGGATAGATTAAGAGTGAGGAGTGAATTTCCGGTGCGCAGTCGCGTGCTCACGTCTCTCTTTTAACTAACGTCTAACAACAGTGGACACTGCGGATCGAGTCTAGGTTTTTGTACGGTAGGCAGCGGCTGTAAAGTGAGTTTCATGCATTTCAGCTTCTTGCCTCCTCATGATCGTCTGCCACAAGTCTGGCGAATTCTTAGGACTGGACAGCGAAGATCTATTCGATGATCTGATCAGATGCCAATCTGCCTACAGCCATCACTCTTCCGCTTCATCGCGTGGTTCACTGGTCGTTATTTCAGAGGTTTTCTCTCTGCGATGTCGTCGCTTCGACTGGGATGACGTTTCGGTTGGACGTAGAACATGGATTAGGATGATTTACGAGGTTTGGCCAAAATCACGTTCGATCGATGGCAGTTTGTTGCGCACTGTTCGATCCGGCCATTCAGCCGCGTCAGCTCAACAGCTGCGGTCATAAGTGAGCAAACCAAACGAATGTCTCGCAGACGGTCGATAGTTCGATTGAGTTCGGCAGTTTGCCTCGGATTGAGTTCGGCAGTTTGCCTCGGCAAATTTCATTCCGGATCCGAAAGCGAAAATTGACGGGGCAGTTGGCGGAGGTCGCGCAGGTCGTCTTAAACGAGTGTTAAATAATGAGTCAAATCAGGTCTTCGAGTTGAGGTTTCGCGCTAGCAACAAATCCTTGTGCTTTTGTGTTGTTGTAGAGAAGGACGCATTCGGTTGACGCCTCTCACCGTGCGAATCCGGACGATGGACGAAGTCTGGTCAACTGCGCATTCGCCTTCGACGTCTGAGGGGGCCATTGGTTTTCAACCAGTCGTCGCTCACCCTTTGTATGACGTATGAAACTAGTTTCACGAAGCATTCACAAATCGTGGAAGTAACAATTAGGCATTGCCGTTGAAGCATATTTACAGACATTTTAAGCTTAAGCTCATCTCTGAAGCACAACGCTGTTGTCGATCTATCCGATCTAAACAGTACTGCTCCGAACAGAATGGCTTCCTTCCAGAAAGGAGGCGAAGTTCAAGGTATTCATTTGCCAAGAAACCTTACTGACATTGAGTACGCGGATGGTACTGTTACTCGAGAACAGTACGGGGAGCGAGCTCTGACCTGACGGCTTACGTTTGACATGCAGCTGCGCCCAGAACTCAAAAGTTATGAGGTACCATCAGTCGCGGCTGATCTACTAATGGAACGAAGAACGAAGCAATTGCGGATTTGGACAAATTTAAGTATGCCGGCTCAGTCATCTCCAGCGACGGTACGACCAAATTAGAATTAATTAGGAGGATCGCCCTTGCCTAATGTGCTTTTGGTAACCTGTGCAATATTTCGGCTGAGAAGGGCGAAACTCTTGCCGCGAAAGTCCTCCTGTACCTCGCCTCGCCTCTGTTACCTCACCGTTGTTATACGACAAGGCGACAGTTATTCTAACGAAGTAGCACGAACGGCGTTTGAACTACGTACAGCATAGTTAGCTTCGAAACATGAGCGTTAATTGGCAGCGCCACGTAAGGAATGACCGTATTTTCTTTCGGACACAGACCACCTAAATGGACATGGAAATTGAGAAAAGGAAGTTGGCCCTGTTCGACAAATACCATTTACTACAACAACCCCTGAGCTTCTTGTGTTGAAGTCGAAATGAGGTAGACACTGTCCAGGAAGCCAACATGGGACATCGAGGAACAAGGAGAAGACAGATCTGCTCTCCGATACAACAGTGCCAATGTCTACCAGCTGCGCACATCAGACTTGCT